AACTTAATTAAAGAATGGGCAAGAAGATCTGAAGAGATGTTTTCCCAAAAAACAACCAATGGCCAATAGGTGATTGATACGCTTATCAGCAGGGAGATGCAAATCAAAACCATAAGGTATCATCTCACACCTGTTAGGATATCTAATATCAAAAAGTAAAATCATAACAGGTGTTGGCAAAGATGTCAAGAAAAGGGATCTCCTCCCTGTACAATGTTGATGGAACTGCAAAAAGGTAAGTCATTATGGAAAACAGGTTCCTCAAACTAAAAACAGGACTATCATACGATCCAGCAATCCCACTTCTAGGTATACATGCAAAAAAATTGAAATCAGTGTCACAAAGAGGTTATCTGCACTCTCTTATTCATTGCAGCACTATTCAAAGTAATCAATATATGGAAACAACCTAAGAGTCAATAGATGAATGGATAAAGAAAATGTAATACACATATACATACACACATGAAATACTATCCAGCCTTTAGAAAACAAGGAAATCCTGCCATCTGCAACAACATGGATGAACCTTAAGGACATTATACTAAGTAAACAACACACAAAACAACTGCATGATCTCACATATGGAATATAAAGATATCAAACTCATAGAAAGTAGAACAGTGATTGCCAGGGGCTGTGAGGTGGGTAAAATGGGAGTATTTTGGTCAAAGGTTCAAATTTTCAGGTATAAGATGAATACGTTCTGGGGACCTAATATACAGCACAGTAACTATCATTAATAACGATATTTATTTCCATGATTAGCACATATTGTATACTTGAAATTTGCTAAGAGTAGGTCTTAATCGTTCTCATCCCACATACAAAAAAAGAGGTAATTGTGTGAGATGAGATGGTGGATCTGTTAAGTAGCCTGACTGTGGTTATCAATTCACAGAGTAGATCCAAGTACCACACGGCACTCCTTATATATATACAATTTTTATTTGTCAATTATACCTCACAACAAAGCTGGCAGTATCAGGGAGGCAGGAGATCATCAGAAAAATGAACACTTATCGTTATGGTAGGTAAAGAATGACTCACAAAGGATTTCAACAGCAGTTAAAGGATGGATAATATTCTCACAGGCAGAGAGATGAGGCAAGACAGTTTTCCAAGAAGGGAGTGTCTCTTATATCAAACTAAGGAGTTTGAACTTCCTTAATCAACAGTGAACCCTAGAAGACTTCAGAGCAGTGAATTTAAAAAGATGTCTCTGGAGGCAGTAAGTAATACAACAGAGTTAAAAGGGTGACAAATGGGAATGCTGGGAAAATACAGATACAAAAAATGGCCTTCCTGAGGTCACACAGTTAATCATATACCTGATCCAAAGCTTGGTTCTTTTGACATCTCATTGTTTTTCCCATGATTAGCATATACCAATGGGAACTAAGTTTTTGCTCAGGATTACTAAAAGACATAGAATTTATTTCATAAGCCTAGTAATTATTTGCCCATTTCAGCTTTTTATTAGCCTCCTAAAACAGTGATAACTCACAAGATTTTCATTTATCATATTAACACACTAACATCTTGACACAGTTTACATATAACATGTCTCTTCATCCCTTTTATACACATCTATCTTTTACAGTTGGTGTTCAAAAATACTTCTGAAGGCAATTTAAATGTTTAAAGTCAGTGACCTGAAAAATGGGATATGACTATACATCTAATTTAGAATGGCTACATTCTAAGGTATCATTTTGATATTCACATATACAGACTTTCATATTCAGTTAGACAGTATATTAAAGGAATTCTGAGCCCCCAGTACAGTACAAAATGTAATTCATCTCACACCATACCTATGTCAATCATAACCTTCCTTATATAACAGTTTCATCCTCAAAGCTGAAACTTGTCCATTTATAATAACGTTGGCTGAAATGTATCAATTACCCCCAATAAAGCTCTACCTCTACCACCCCAATCCAATCTACATATACTGAGCCTTTTTTAACACCTTTTTGGGGACTCCAAAATATGATATTGTGGCTCCAATATAAAAAAGCTAAGTGACTATCTACAGAGACTTTTGTTCATAAACAACACTATACTGTATTTCTCTAATTTGGGGTAGGAAATAATTCTGAAAAGATATGACTCTATAACAGTGGAAATCCAAATACCTACTTAGGGTAGAGGACAGTAGTTGTAAGTAGTACATAAAAGCTAGAAGACCCATAAAATGTAGTTAGTCTTAGAGATTTTAACATTTCCATCGTCTTATGAATCAACATTGTACACATACAACTTCCACAATTCTTGTGAACATTAAAACAACCAGCTTAGACTACTAAACATATGTCCCTTCCACAAGGGCTTGATTTACTAAGTGAGCCTTAACAAAATTTCAGGCAAGAAAATCTTGTTTTATCCTCTCATCTTTTTGAACATGTTCCTCTGCTTTCAAATGCCCTCAAGCAGCTGTAAGACTTCAACTCTGTAAAACCCTTTAGATCTTCAAAATTCGCTTTATTATAAAATTACTTGCTTCTACAGCCTCTCAAAAATCAAAGCTTTTATCAGCTCCATGAAAACTTTTTAAACCAATTCACTCTAAATTATGGCAGCATAACTGATAATACCCCTTTAATTTACCTGTAGGCATTTTCACTTTTAAATGAAGTTTGTTAACCAATTTATTTTAACTGATATACTTTGAGAAAGTTTAGAAATTAGAAAATCAAAATGAAAACTTTCATACAGAGCAAGAAAGGGCATATCACAGGAAGAGAAGACTAGAAGCTGAAGTCTAGCATATGTATCCCACTCACCTAGTCATGTAATCACACACCTTATAATCATCTGGTTCAACACCTGAATTTTTTTTTTTCAGATGGAGTGTCGCTCTGTCACCAGGCTGGAGTGCAGTTGCGCAATCTCGGCTCACTGCAACCTCAGCCTCCCAGGTTCAAGGGATTCTCCTGCCTCAGCCTCCCAAGTAGGTGGGACTATAGGCACACCACGCCCAGCTAATTTTAGTACAGATGGGGTTTCACCATCTTTGCCAGATGATGATTTTTTTAAGTGACAACAAAGCTGGTGTCCAGAGACCAAGGTTAACCACTCACACTACAGTACTATGCAGACTCCTCTAAGGTATTCCAGCATTTCATTTCACTCTAGGGGTCTAAACCCATAGGATTCCTATGGCCTAGCTTTGCACACTGCATCTTAGTATTAGTGGTCCCTGGACTTCTGTGAAAAAAAGAAGTTGCACGTGAGGTGGTAATTTGAAAGAAGAGTATAAATAATTTAAATTCCAAGACTGCCTTGGATTTATAGATGTGGTATCTAACTCCAAAATCAAACAACAGATATTCGCAATGTCCCTAAGAAAGTTAAAGCAAATTTTTATGCTCCTTTTATGGGGGAATAAATGGTTTACAGGCTTCTGGTCAATTCATATGTCATATTGCTTACTTTTATTTAAAATTAAATTAGGTCTGCCTATTGAAAGGTACAAAAGTTAAATTTTAGACATAAACTCTAAATTTGTTATATGCAAAAGGAATTATGTACTAAATTCAAAAGACAATTTAAATTCAAGTTTCTATTTTTTTCTGGGTGTGCTTTAAAGCTAATAGTTATATACACCTAAACAAATTAAACATTCAACTGGGATATACATCGTAAACGAGTATCTCATTTAGGAACCAGATGATGTTCATATACATATATATTTACACGTTTATACATGTACACACATACATATTGAAAAATACAATCAAGCACTAGACAAAACAGTCATAGTGTTGGTATTATGATTTTATAGGTTTTTTTCTGATTTGCATTTGAAAATTAGATCGGCCAAAACTTGATCGCAAATAGTCTGATTTACAGCCCTACTATGACAGTCAAAGAAGACACCAGATTACCCATCACTACATCCCATCACCAGTTTTACCAGAGCTATGGGTGAGAACTGTCAAGAGCATTACAGGCAATCAAACAGTAACACACAAAAATTTGGGGATTTTAATAAGCTAAAAGCAGTATTTCACAAAGATTTAATAAGGGCAAGGTCACAACCTTTCTTCACATGGTCAAATTAAGCTGGAAAGGAGAAAAACTTCACTCTGACATCGATTGGTACCGCCTTCTTTGGGGAGGGAAAAGAAGTATTATTATACTCTGAACTCTGTCGTTCTTATACACAGATCTACAGCAGTATTTGCATAGAGTAGAGAGTATCCCAACCACTACTTATTTTTTTCTCTTATCTACTCCATAATTCAATACAAGAAAGAAAAAGATAACCAGGGCTTAAAGAAAGCAATAACAATTGAGTTCCAGGCTCCTCCCAAGCCTTATTATTTCCAGGTGTTATAACTGGGAGTTGCGAGGACAGATTTGAGTTCTACTTCCGCTCCTTTTTACCCCCCCCTACTTCGAAGAGTCCAAGAGCAGCAGCAAAGAAAAAGACCAGTTCGAAATAGGGAAGGGATGTTGGGGTTAAAAAGGGGAGTTAAATAACCTGACTTTTAGTGAAAAATAAAGAATTCAGGCTGTAGTTTCTAGAAATAAGTTCTTACAGGCCTGTAAAGTCTGGAGCTGGGTAAAACCCAAGAGGCTTTTCCTAACTCGAAAACAACCACCTTTAAAGTGCAGCGGCCGGATTTCTAATTGTGGAAAGTTTAAACAAATTTGTTCCTGGGGGAATGGGGGAAGGAAGGGAAGAGCAAGTCTGGGCTCGGCCGGGGAGCGTGCGGGGTCTGCACCGCGCGCGGTTGTCAGTCCAACGCCGGAAGGCGCAGGGATTTTCGACAGTAGCTACTTCACCCATCCCGGACCGCAGGCTGGAACATGTGCCCAGAGCCGGCGGGTACATGCGGCCAAGTCGGAGCAACCAGGACGCGGACGCGAGGGCAGGTGAGTCTGGCAACGAGGGACAGGGTTCCAGGGCTCCGGGTGGAAGTTGGGGGTGGGACGGCACCGGGACGCCGTGGAGGCAGCGGCGAAAGGTGGCGGGCGGCTGTACTTACTCGGCTGTACCAGATGCTGAGGCGGGCCGCGGCCAGCACGGCGAAGAAAGCCCTCTGCGGGTCGGACTGAATGTGGAAAGGCGCCTCGGCCGGGCTCCCCAGAGGGCAAAGCAGCCTCTTGGGCCAGCCGCTCAGAAAATACATGGTCCGCACGGAGCCACCGGCGCCGGGGCCCAGGGTCCCTGGCCGCGTTCGTCACACTCAGCGGCCCCGGGCTGGGCGCCCGCCTCCCACACCGCCACCGGCCGAGTGGGCGGCCGCGGCGGCGGCAGCTCCGGGCATCTGCCCGCTGGCCTGGCCGGACCGGGCCGACGCGATGCTGTGCGACGAAGGCACCCCGGCGCTGACGGGGCCGAGTGTGGGGGAGGGAAGGGGAGGGTGAGTCCGGACACAGAGAGGGCGGGAGGAGCGCGGAGGCCCGCCTCGGCCCCGCCCCTTCCTCAGGCCGCGCGGGCGTCACCACGCCGCGCCGCGTGGGTCGGGCCGGGGAGGGCTGGCGCGCGCGCTCTGGAGACTCCTGTCCTCCCCCGGCTGTTCCCTGAAGCTCCGCCCTAAGCCTCGCCCGGGGCCGCTGCGCTGCGTCGACACTCCAGCGCTGGCCCCGCCCTTGCTCCTCTCCCTAGCAGTCTGCAGAGTTCTGCTGGGCGGATCTGGGCAACCGTTTGAGACTCCGAGGCAAGTGGGGCGAGTCCACTGATAACGCAGCAGTGAGGCGACTGGGCCTGTGGAACGCGCCCTGGCCCGGCCAAATCGGACCTCCCTTCCGGATTGGCGGGGACTCGGTAGGGGCGGGCCGGACGCCGGGTGGAGGGGAGCTGGAGTCACGTGACGCCCTGCGCGGATTCCCACTCTGGGCTGCCGGCCGCTGTGGCTGTGGTGAGCTGTAGGTGCTTTTACTTTGTGACCGCCTTTCGGGCCGGGGTCTGCAGTTAGAGGTGATGCTAAAGTTCCTGCCTGTATGGAGCTTACATCCCAAAGGGAGCGTTTATGTAACCTGTAAATAAACCACTCACCATGGAAGTATTGAGTTCTGTGTCTCCTGCCTTTCAGGAGTTCTGAGTCTGTTTCTTTGGAATCCGTTTTGCATTTGTCTGCGCCTCTATCAACTAAACTTTAGATAAGAAGAGGCGGTCTCTTTCGTGCTGCAAAAGGCTTGGACTTAGTTTTAGAACTGGAAGGAACTGGTGATACCATAGGTCCATACTTAGCTTTTGGACCCCAGGTATCACCTTAACTATAACTTCGGATTGACCCAGTGGTAACCTCTGAATAGGAGGAGGGTCGAGGGGATATGGTATGGAATGGGCGAAGAGGGAGTCTAGAATAGAAAGATTTGCTTTTCATTGTTTACCTTTTTGGTACAGTTTGAATTTTTCCATGTGTTTGTATTTTTCAATTAAAAAGTCAAGTTTAAAAATATGTGAACTCACATTAAAAAGTAGCAACATAGGTAGGGTGCGGTGGCTAACACCTGTAATCCCAGCATTTTGGGAGGCTGAGGCAGGCCTTGAGGTAAGGAGCACAAAACCAGCCTAGCCAATATGGTGAAACCCAGTCTTTACTGAATTACCGGCACCTGCCACCACGCCCGGCTACAAAAATTAACCAGGCGTGGTGGCAGATGTCTGCAATCCCAATTATTCGGGAGGCTAAGGCAAGAGAATAGCTTGAACCTGAGAGGCGGAGGTTGCAGTGAGCCAAGATCCGGCCACTCTTCCAGCCTGGGCAACAATGCGACAATGTCTCAAAAAAAAAAAAAAAAAAAAAAAAAAAAAAAAAAAAAAAAGTAGCAACATAAACAGAAAAAAGGAAACAAAGTAACTTACTTCGTATCAGATATAGCATTGTAGCTGTTATCCATAACAAAATATGTAGCTTTCCATAATTTTTCTAAACATTCACTGTATTCCCTAAAAGGTTATCATAGAACCCTGGATTCCTCAAATCGAAGTTGAAACTGCCTCACCACTCACCAGCCTGTTGTGATCAGACTGCCTCCTTGGCGTCTACCCTCCCCTAGTTCAGCAAAGCAGCCTGGAACCTAGTAAGCTGGAAATATTTGTCAGACAAACAGTGGATGAAACCCTGGTCCAGCTTAGCTACACCAGAGAAGTTTCTTAACTTGCCAGTATAAAATTGTAGAATAACAAAGTTGCATCATACTTTCATCTTACTCGGATTCAGTTATGCACTTGGCAGAAAGAGAGGAAATGAAAATATTCTAGCACAGCAATTCTGCTGGCAGTGTTGCTGAGTGTTTGTCTCAGCTCTCAGAGAGTCTTTGTTCTCAGGGGTCTCTTAAGTCTGTCATACTGTGCTCATGGGCAATTTAAGGAACTTGTAAGCAATTTTTATGGTGCTCAGTTTTAACATTAATTGCTGACTTTAGAATCTAATTCACCTGCCACACTCCTGTGTAGCATTTAAGATTAACAAAATAATTTCAAATGCGTGTCTTGATTTAATTCATAGTAAACGTTCAAGGTGGGTAATATCAGTGTGATATTATTTTCACTTTCTTAAGTGAGGAAACAGAACAAGTGTGGTAGATGTGCCTGATGTCACATGACCTGAGAACTGATCTTCTTTCTACAAGTCCAGTGTGCTTTTTTTTTAAAATTTAAGGTTTGGCCAGGTGTGGTGGTTCATGCCTGTAATTCCAGCCCTTTCGGAGGCTGAAGCAGGCAGATCATGAAGTCAGGAGCTTGAGACCAACCTGACCAATATGGAGAAACCCCCATCTCTACTAAAAAAAAAAAAAAAAAGCAGAAGTTAGCTGGGTGTGGTGGCACACACCTGTAGTCCCAGCCACTCAGGAGACTGAGGCAGGAGAATCACTTGAACCTGGGAGGCGGAGATTATAGTGAGCGGAGATCACACCATTGCGCTCCATCCTGGGCAGCAGAGTGAGACTTCATCTCAAATAAATAAATAAGGTTATGGCAACCCTACATCAAGTATGTCTATTGGTGCCCTTATTCCAACAGCATGTGGCCTTTAAACTGGGCTGAACTAAATTGTAATTGCTCTGGACAGTGAGTAGGAGAGGGGAAAACCTCTAGGTCTTTCTCCCTGGGAGGGGAGGAAATGAAATATCTGACTCTCCAAAACCCAGTACTTGAGAGTTCCCCCATTGTGACAAAAATGTTATTGACTGGATTTTTCAACTTTCTCTCCCCAACCCCCACCCCAGCTCTGTGGCCCAGGCTGGAGTGGAGTGGTGCAATCTCACCTCACTGCAACCTCCGCCTCCTGGGTTCAAGTGATTCTTGTGCCTCAGCCTCCTGAGTAGCTGGGACCACAGGTGTGCACCACCATGCCTGGCTAGTTTTTGTATTTTTTGTAGAGACAGGGTTTCAACATATGGCCAGACTAGTCTCTATCACCTGGCCTCAAGTGATCCCCCAGCCTCGGCCTCTGAAAGTGCTAGGATAACAGGTATGAACCACCATGCCTGGCTTCAACTTTCAAATACGGTATTTTAACTTTATTTTGTAAAATATACTAACAATTCCCATGCCTTAGGCCTTCCTTCTCCTTTTTCTACCCATTTCCCCCACCACTCTAGTCAAAATTTTTGGATTCTGTTGTAAGATCAAGCTGATAAAAGTTAATAGGGGGCTGGGCAGGGTAATAACGCCTGTAATCCCAGCGCTTTCAGTACTTACACGCCTGTAATCCCAAAGTGGGCAAATCACTTGAGCCCAGGTGTTTGAGACCAGCCTGGGGAACATGGCAAAACCTTGTCTCGACAAAAGATTAGCCAGGTGCCGTGGCATACGCCTGTGGTCCCAACTCTCCTGCCTCTTGAGGCTAAGGCAGGAGAATTGCTTGAGGCTGGGAGGCAGAGGTAGCAGTGAGCTGAGATCCTGCCGTTGTACTGTCACCTGGCTGACAGGAGTGAAATCCTGTCTCAAAAAAGGTGCATGTTTTCATCTAAGAAACTTAAAAAGTTTTTAAATTACAAGAAATAATATTGCTAAGTGTGCACGTAAGAAACAGGTACAGTTATACACTCTTGAGGGAGTATAATTTGGTGCATTTTTTTTAAATCGAAGGTTTGTGGTAACTCTATGTTGAGCAAGTCTGTTGGCACCATTTTTTCCAATACCATATGCTCACTTCATGGCTCTGTATCACATTTTGGTAATTTTAAAATATTTGAAACTGTTATTAGCATATCTGTTATGATGGTCTGTGATCAGTGGTCTTTGATGTGAGCATACGCTCACTTCATGGCTCTGTATCACATTTTGGTAATGTAAGGGTCATTGCCGAGTTTAAAATGAGGAAACTGAGGCCAGTATAAGAAAATTAAATACCAATTTATTCAGCTCCTGGGCGAGGTTCTCTAGTCCAGGGAAAGCGGGGGTTGGGGGGGCGGTTTACGGCTAGGAGGACTGAGCAACAGCTGGGTGCTCTGATTGGGTCCGGGGTGGTGGGGGGGAGCAGGATTGAGACGGGGTGGGCCGCTATTGGTTGGTGGGTTGTTGGACGGGTTTTCCTGTGCGAGAGCCAGCCAGGGTTGCATTAGCCGGAGCCTTCCAGGGGGAGCCATGCAGCAGAGCTAGGTGCCGAGTGCAGAGCCTGGTGCCGGGTGCAGAGTCAGGTGCTGAGTGCAGAGGTGGGTGTGTCCGATCTCCCCACGAGGCAACCGGCCTTACAGGTAGTTTAAATATTTGAAACTTTTTTCATATTAGCATATCTGTTATGACGGTCTGTGATCAGTGGTCTTTGTACTTGTTTTGGGGTTTCATGTACCATATCCATGTAAGATGGAGAACTTAGGCAATAAATGGTATGTGTGTTCTAACTATTCAATCGACTGGCAATTCCTCTGTCTCTTTCCCTCTCTTTGGGCCTCCTTATCCCCTGAAATGCAACAATATTGAAATTAGGCCTATGAGTAACCCAACAGTCGCCTTTAAGTGTCAAGTGAAAGGAAGAATCCCCATCTCTCACTTTAAATAAAAAGCTAGAAATGATTAAACTAAGTGAGGAAGGCATGTTGAAAGTCAAGATAGGCCAAAAGCTAGGCCTTTTGTGCCAGTTAGCCAAGTTATGAATGCAAAGAAGAAAAACTTCTTGAAGGAAATTAAAAGTGCTACTCCAGAGAACATAGGAATGATAAAGCAGAACAGCCTTGTTGCTGACCTGGAGAAAGTTTTAATGGTCTGAGTAGAAGATCAAGCAAGCCACAACACTCCCTTAAACCAGACACAGTGCCTCATGTCTGTAATCTCAGCACTTTGAAAGACTGAGGCAGGAGGATCACTTGAGGCCAAGACTTCAAGACCAGCCTGGGCAATATAGCAAGACCCCATGTCTTTAAAGAAAAAATGTTTTCATTAGCCAGGTGTAGTGGTGTGTACCTGTAGTCCTAGCTACTTGGGAGGCTGAGGCAAGAGGCTCACTTGAGCCCAGGAGTTCCAGATTA